TTTATTTATTTTTACTATATTTATTTTCACTTTATATATTATGCCTTTATTTCTCCATTTTTCATTGGCAACTTTACGTTTTACATTTCAAATCACTTTTGTTTCTTCTCATTCACGTCTGGCAAGTCATGGAAATGGGCGCCTGTTTTTAAGCGCTAGAAACATATCGGCTGTTATTTCCGAACAGTCGAATGAATTTTGAAGCGAATGCAGTTTTTAATCAAGAAATCTATCACGATATGAGTTTCTTGAGATTATTTATTTCATACTAAATTTCGGTGCTTTGCAAAATAATAAAGAAATACTTAAGATATAAAATAAGCGGTATAAAAACAAACTGCTCATAAGCCTCTCACAGTAAGCAATGTTTATTTTAGAAGTAAATTACCAATGTAACATTCAATTCGTAACGGGAATAATAAATAACTTAAACAGCATAACTTTTCAAACGTGAACTTCTTAAACGAGTATAACTGTATTTACTACCGAAATCATATCAATATCTTATTCCAATAAATATTTAGCATTAATAAAATATGAAGTAAAATTTAATTTTTTTAAAATCTTAACCCTTTGACGCAGAATTTATGTTTCATATTTTTCATACTTTTACCATTATTTTGTATTAATTTAGATCAAAATAAGTGAAAAATACTATATTTAGCATATTTATAAGTTAAGGTTATCAAATATAGAATGAAACTCTGGTAACTTTTTCTGCGTTAAAGGTCAAATTTTCCAAACACGGATCACTTCCAAACAATAATTTTTCAAATTTGCACTTATTTGCAGTTATTTAAATCTAAGAGGAACTGTTATTCATTATTGAAATTTCCTTAATTTTCAAAATCAATGATTGATAAATTTTTGAGTATGAATAAAAAAAAAATGTTTAAACCACTTTTTTTGGATATTATATTTTAGTACAAAGATAATTTCGATAATCAAATAGATTTTTTTAGTAATTATTAGACAGCTTTTTATTATTAAAAAGCACCAAAACTTATTTGGCTTGTAATTAGGGAGTCAGAAAAAAAAACATATACAAGGGACACCGGTGTCCCATCTGAAATCACTTTTCTTGGATTTTATATTTCAGTACAAATATAATTTCGATAATCAAACAGATTTTTTTAGTAACTATTAGACAGCCTTTTATTATTAAAAAGTACTAAAATTTATTTTGGCTAGTAATTAGAGCGTCAGAAAAAAATATATTCAGGGGACACCGGTGTCCCATCTGAAACCACTTTTCTTGGATTTTATATTTCAGTACAAATATAATTTCGATAATCAAACAGTTTTTTTAGTAATTATTATATATCTTTTCATTATTAAAAAGCACCAAAATTTACTTTGGCTTGTAATTAGGGCGTCAGAAAAAAATATATACAAGGGACACCGGTGTCCCATTTGAGTCAAAGGGTTAAAACAAGAAAAAAAATCCGTCATTTATTATTCATTTTTGTTGCTTCTATACCACTTATCGCCCACAGACTAAACAAAACATGTATATTATTATTTTCTTTTTAAACGTCTTCTTTTATGACTATTCTCAAACATGAAACAGTAAGGCTCCCATCTTAAAAATTCTTCATCCGTTCGTACTATCCTTTCAAGTGAAAGTCATCAATCCTGAAATTTAAAATCAAGGTGGATTGGATTCCTTAATGTTGGTGAACTTAACCTTGGCCTTATGGGTACTCGACCTCATACGTAGAAAGAGAAAGGTTCATTTGTTGCTGGTTAAGGTCGCAAAGTGCTGCGCTGTGATAGTATTTCATGTGCTATTTAAAATACTTTATTGTCTGATTTTTAAAAAATGCCATGATTGAAAAGCAAAAATGACGGAAAATTTTTAGAAGTTAAACTGGATTAAAAAAAAAAATTAAAAAAACAACAACTCAATTTTAGAAAAATAAACATTTAAAAAAAATCCAGCAAAATAACATAGATTAATAAAACGACACATTTCTTCGTTGGCTAACTTATTCGCTTAAGTTATCACAAATGGGAAAAATATACACCGTTACTTAAAAAGAAATTAGTTAAAACTTCATTGCCATGGGCGTCGCTGGTAGGGGGCTGTTTTCCATGAATTATCGATTTAAATTCCTTTAAATTAAGAACAAGAAGAAAAAAATATTAATCTTTTGCAGGTATTCAGCAAATTTTTTTTTTATGTGTTAAATTTAGGGAGCTATTATGACTGTTTAATTTAATTTCGTCCCCCTCAAAAATTGCGCCCGACGACGATTATCTTCATTTCTGACTTTGCATAAATTAGATTGAAAGTACAACATATAATTTAATGCAGGTTTGGAAAAAATATGAATTATTTCGCTCAAAAAACCAAAGATCCCGGTTTCTTGATTTCAATTTTTCTTTAATTTTTAAATAAACTAATATTTTTTGTTGTTAAAACTAAGGGTTCATTAATATTTTAAGGTTCAGATAAAAGTAACTGAACCTTTCATAAGTAATTCATGGAAGTAACTATCAATTACCTAATGTTTATCAATTAATAAACAATTTAAAAATATTCACTTTTGTTCTATAAATAGGCTAACATGATAAAAAAAAGAAATGAATATCTTAAATATGTTTACATATTACTTTACAGCTCCACTTAACATGCAAATAAACTCTCAACATCTTAATGTTATTTTAGTAATGAATCTAAAAGAGTAAACCCTTCTTGCTTGCTTGTGATATGAAAAGGTCATACATCAGCCTTATTAACATTATCATTATTTAAGAGAATAGAATTTATAACATTAGAGTAATACTTAAAATTTTGTAAAATAAATATTTTTTTTTCATCGATTGAATCAATACCAATTTTAATAAGAAATATTTAAGCAGCATATATATTTTTTTAATTAAAAAATTATTAAATATTTTTTTAATTAAAAAAATATTTGGAAATAATGGAATAAGCAAAAGAAATAAAAGCGACAAATGGAATGCATATAAAATAGCTAAAGTATGTTTTAGTACTAATGGTTTAATTAAAAGAAAAAAGAATAAAAAAACTTTTTTCTTTATTTAAAAAAAAACATATAATAGAACTTCAAGTTTACAATATGCTTCCTAACATACTGAAGCATTAAATAAATTAATATACAGGGAAAATTTGGTTTAATGCGTGGTTTGAACCAACCAACCCTGATTTAATAACACAAAAGCCGGGTAGAGTTTGGTGACAGATTAGGGAGAGGCTGTTCAGCGTCAAAACTTAAAAAAGTATATCATAATTCATATATATACTGCACAAAAGATATAAGTTTACCAAACGATGTTGTAAACTTAGTCTGACACACACAAGAAAAATCACTGAAGGACTCGAGATTGTGGAAACGGTGTTTTTGTTAAGAAAGCAAATTCCCTGAAAAAAGCACAAGTGTCTGATGTGACTATAATACGCCAATCTCAAGGTAAAAATATATAATAATTCGACGCAAAAGGGAAGAAAGACTAGAAAAAAAATTAAAGATATCTAAAACAAGATGGGGTCGTGGTAACTAAAGTTGTCTAAGGATTTATAAACCTGAAAGCTTAAAATCGAAGTCAGCAAGTGAAATTTATTGCACTTAACGTGCTTAACTTATCTGAAAAGTGTCAATAAAATAAGTTTTTAAAAACTTATTTTATTGGCACTTTTCAGATAACAAGATAATGTTTAGGAATCTCCAAATGTATTTCTTGAATTTATTTGATTAGTTTCATCCTAGAGATGTCACCATCGGAAGAGGGATAAAAGCCTCGACATAAGGGTTTCGTGTCGGCTCTATTATAGAAAAAAAATTTTTTTTTGCTGACCCTTAACAATTTCAGATCCTAAAGAACAGACATTTAAAATCACAAAAATAAAATACTGATTATGAACCTCGGATAAACTCTTTTATTGATAATTTGTCCCAAAAATTGACCAAAGCAACGTCTTTCGTTGAGGAGACACTCTGACCGACTATCACAAAAATATTGACGCCACTCATGTGGTCACAAATCCTGATACCACTGTTTGCAAAGACCAGAAATCAATAGTAAACAATTTATACCTATTCGCTACAAGGTACTTCTTTTCTTTGAAATAAAAAGTATAGGCCAATAAAAACTATGATGAAACAAAAATTCTAACTTTTATATTGGGCAATAAAAAAACAGTATTTGTTTCGGTTTTGTATAACTAATTATGGATAAAAGATACTAAATGGCCAAAATGTAAAACATTAAAAAATGTGAAACAATGTTTTATAAAAACCAAATCCGTGATGAATGAGGCTAAAATAAAATATTTTTATTTAAAATGATTTTTAACCCCCAAAAGATAGAAAAGTATCTACCTTGGGTATATTTTATTAGTTGAAAGACGTTAGTAATCTTTATATTCGTTTTTCCCCCCTTCTTTTTAATTAAAATTTTTGGAAAGTTTTCAAAACATAATTAGTCTAAAATATAGTAATTAAAGGTGTGAAAATAAGAAAAAAAAAATTGCTTAACGCATTTGAGCGACATTAAAAAGAAAATTTTTTCTATTTTTTATACATAAAAACAGTGTTCAAATTTAAATTGAATTTTATACAGTGATCCTTATATAGTCAAGTCTGTAATCAAGAGACAGGAGAAAAAAAAATCTTTATAGTTTTTTACGGAGTTATTCAGCTTTGTAATTTTTATTCGAAATAAGTTTAGAGAAGTTTGAAATGGGCAATTTTCCCTTTTTATTTGTTTACTTTTCAAAAATGAAAGGAAAGCTTAGATGAAAAATAATTTGCTAATAATCTGCAGCTGCTGGAGGGTTTCTGCAACCGGGTACATATATAATAATAGTTAAGAAATTTATACTTATAATAAAAGATAAAATATATAAGTTTATTCTTTAATTAGTTTTGAAAATTCTTAAAGTAGCAAAAATATAACTAAAAGATATCATCAAATAAAATATTCATATTTTAAGAATTAAAGATGTAAAAAATTTTTAATATAAATTTACTTACATAGGTCCATTTCTATTTCTATGAAGAGCAACAGTGTATCCAAAATAACTATCAGGAGAACCTTTAAAAATAATTGGAAATTTTGTATCTATATTGTAAGAAAGCGCGGTAGAAAAAAGATGAGCCAGAGCCCAGACAATCGTTATCCTAGTGTTCATGTTCGCTGGTCAATGGAAAAGAGAAAGAAGTGCTTCTCCGAGTCAATCGTGTGAAATATACGGAACAAACAATTCGACCACGCCGTCGGAAGTGACGCAATGTTATCCGCCACGTGACTTAACTCGTACAGGTTGCTCACTTTTTAACGGAAATTCAGATGACGCAAAAGTAAGTTATTGTGGACAAGTCATGAAGTTTAGTTGCAAATTCAATCGGGAGTGGTTTTACAAGGTCAATCTTCCCATCTTTTTACCTGACTTTTCATGACAAAAATATAAAAACTTTCCATTTATATATGGAATTTGAAGCTAATTATAAAGCAAGTTTTTTGCAAAACCTCCCCCCCCAGCAATAATACAAATGCCCACTACCCTATATAAAAAGGGGCTATATATTGTTTAAAAAAAGCGAGTTATCTATCAATTGTTTTTCGAAAGGTAATTTAGTATTCTCACGAGATCTTCATTCATTTGAACAACTGACTGACAGGGAAAAGTCTGGGAAATTTTTACTCTTTAAAAATGTTGGAGAATTTTTTAGTTTCTAAATAAAGAGAAATTTTTAATTTCCAAGTCAAAGAAATTTTAAACACCTAAGGAAAACATCGGAACTTAATGAAATTTTAAATTTTTTAATGCCAGGAAAATTGTATTTAATTCAGTTGAGCAATACTCTTTGTCCGCTCTAATTTTTCCTTGGAACCAAAGAAATTTGGGGTCTAAGAAAAATTTATTTATTTAAAATTGTATAGACTTAATAAAAACAAAAAAGAAAAAAAATATTTCTGCATAATATGTTAATAAATATATGATAAAATAATTAATAGAAAAACACGATTTAAATACATGTAAAAAGAAAATATTTAAAAATTTCACTTCAGTATTCATAACATAATTATTGTAATTTACTTTATGATAATTATATGTTGAGTCTATAATTACATTTTTTATCTGTAAATCTTTAATTTATGCTTTAAATTTTTCTTTTAAGCGAAAATGTTAGAAGTCTAAAATTGTTAAGCATATGCTCATAAATTTAAATTTTAATTTGCGTGGTAGAAATACCGTTTAGTATTTTACGAACTAGTAAATTACATAAATGCGGACAAAGTGATCTTGGAAATTAAAGCTTATAAAGGTCAGGAAACTTACATCAGCCACTATGAAACTACTTCATCTGGAATCTATGAACTTGCTAAATAGTTACCAATTATACAAAAGAAAAGGTTTAAAATTTTCTGGTTAACTTGAAAGTATCGGTTACTTCGTTTTCCTTAATAATTATATCGTTATCATTTTTTGGTTAACAGGGTTCGCACCGCCCTTCGGCGTAAGGGCATTTGGAGTAAAGTTTTTAGATATTTGCCTCTTATTGTTTTTTTTTTTTTTTTTCATTTTGTGTCTTATAAAAAATAGAAGCATTTAAATATTTCCTATCTTTCATATTTAAATAATAGTGCAATATATTTTGTTTAGGGACTTATTTTGGTAGTTTATCAATATTGCCTCTTCCGCCAGTCGTTAGTCTCGCTTTTTTTCTCACTAACTTTTCGTTTCCCTTTTCTTTTTTTTTAAAAAAAATAGGTGAAAGTAAATATTTTAATTTACAATTTTACATTCCTTTAAAAAATTTTAATCGATAAAAGTATATTTCGTGTGAGGACTAAAGAAAAGTTTTCCATATTGCCCTTTTCTATCTTTATTATTCCCTTACTGAAAAAAACTAGAAACGTTGTATAAATGTTTTTTTTTTCTTTATTATTTTATATTTTAAGGGGCATTTATGAGAGTAGTTAGTTTTGATTGCCTAATTAAGTGCTAAAACTATCAACTTTTATTTCTTTCTCTGGATAAAAAATTTGCATAAAACCATGGAGGAAAGAATTATATCATTTTTAATTTCAAATGTCATTTTTCATGTCAAATTACAAAAATTGCTTTATTCTAAAATCAATATGCCTATAACATTATTCTTGCGCCACTAGCCCTTATTTGCTTTCAGCATCCCTGAGAATTTTCTATTTAACAAATGTAACAAAACAAATATAAACCATACGTTTTCAATTAACAGCAAATTTACATCCTCTTAAATAACGAGTCTAAAGTAGGGGGGCACGGTGCCTAGCAATTAGTCTCCTATCAATCCCCAGAAAGAATCATCTCTGATTGTTTGAGTAAAAGAAGAGATGATTACATGTAAATACATTATCATAATCCTTAGATGATAACAAAAGAATTTGGAAGTGTATTTAGCTCTTATCGAAGATGATTAATAGTGCTATATTAGGCTAGATCCGTCTTGCCAATTTCTTATTTAAAATTATTAAAAATACATTAAAAATGTATTCCAGCTATATTTTTTTTTTATCATAGTTCAAACAAAATGACCAGCAAAGAAATCAAAAATGCACAAAATTTTGCGATGTGATGATTAAAAATATTAAATGCGCAATTTTTACTTCTGCTTCGATTTGGATTTTAAACAATTAAGAAGGTACTTGAAATTTCCTTAAGCGGATCTACTCCCGCCATCTTGGATTCTAGGTAAAATTTTTAATTTGCGTTTTCTTGATATTTTTTTTTTGTACTTAACAAACTTTTGATGATAATTAGATAGTGCAAAACTTTTTAAAAAAAGGTAAAAAAATAAAAGGATCGCTTTATTAGATTAGGAGAAGCGCGTGATAACTTTTAGAACTGCTATGCATTTTTCCTCAAAACTTTAAGGCAATAAAATGATGCGATTTGGGGTTTTGAGAAAGTAATTTCAAATGACACGTTTCTCAATTTTTAAAATCTAGTTTTATTGCAGTTTATATTGATGAAAACCGACCGCTAAAAAATTCCTTTAACGCAAATTGCATAAAATCAAAGTTAGTCAAAAATTTAAAAACAGTCAATTGAATACTACACTCATGATCATAAATTAAGGATAATGCAATCCTCCTGCAAAAATTTTTTTTTCCAGAAAAGAAACAATGTGGACTTATTCATAAAGCCCATTTTTTAAACAAAAGATGAAGAACAAAAAAAGATGGTGCATGTATGCATGATAGCACTCTTAAAAACTACAATTTTTATTATTTGGAGCAATTATAAAAAATATCGCTTTATAAAAACCTATTATTACACGGTTGGTATGAAGTTTAATACATTGTATGTCTCCCATTCGATGAAATACAATCCGTACAACGTCCAGACAGGCTAAGCATCAAATTATTGAGCTGATCTTTTATTTCATTTTATAACCGACGTTGAACAGCTGATCCAATTCTGAGCATACGACTATCAATGTTAAACTTCATAGCATTGTAATTTTGAACACAACTCGGAAGACAAAGGAACTCCTGGATCAAGTGGTGGGACAAATTAGTTTTCGTGGAGGACTTTTGATGGAAATAACCCACATTTGCATTGGCGATCGAAATGGGCTACAGGTGGCGTAGAGCAGAACTCTCTACCTATGGCAACACTTCGCATGCTTCCACCATTAGCGTGTGGAAAGTCATAGAAGAAGGAACTACGTTAGTTTCTGTCTTGATTTTTATATAGATTAAAATTTTTAAGTTGGGAAACTATATTGAACAGAAAACTACATTAAACATAGTTCTAAAAGAAAGCAGCATCTTGGAAATTAAAAAAAAAATACTTTTTGTAATTAAAAACGAAAAATATTAAGGAAAGGAAAAATTTTGTAGTACATTCCTCTACGATTGAAAAGAGGAGGAGAGGGAAGGGCGAAAGGCATGAACCTAGTCTTCTCCCCAGATGGCGTATTCGAGCGTTGTGATTGCCTATAGAGAGGAAACACAAGAAAACAGCCCACGGTTAGCCGGATAACAAGGGGATTCTAATCCATGATTCATCTACCACTGGGTACATTTAATATCAGCACTGTGGCCAGTGCGAGCTGGGAGCAATATTCGTATCAACTAGACACCGCTGTGATTCAAACCTGGGTCCTCATTGAAGGGCGAACGTTCTCCCTGAACCATTGCGGCTTTTACACTTGTTATTGAAGTTTAGCTTAATAATGCGTCAAGAAAATGCATGCTTTTCTTAGGATTTAAATAAATTAAACTGCTCTGGGGACAGAGTATTGCAAAGAGCATTGCTGTTCAATGATGGTGGTAATGAGCAATTGACGTTCTCCACATAAAAGTCGGACGTGAATCAGACTGCAATGCTAAATCTGGACTCGTCGGGAAACATCACACAAGGCCACTGTGAAGGTGTTCACATTGCATGTTCCTTACTCCAGGCTGGCGACAGCGAATTGCCGTGAGCGGAACACATGTGACAGGCCTGCGAGCATACAGATCATATAGCATATAGAGCATCTGGGTCAGACTGATGATTATCTATTGGCTTGAGAAGATTCTCAGGGATGGGTGTGTCCTTTCGGGAAGCCAGTAACTTAGTATGGGTGTCAATAATTCCGTCAATTAAATTGTATTCCTCTTTCCTTATTTTAGGGTCTGAATACTTGTCTTCAATACTTGTCTCTTTCCTGCCGGAAGAATAAAATGAGCTCTTCAATAGCCTTATTAGTGCTGCCCTCGTGATCCTCAGGGACGATGTCTTCTGATTGCACGGGAGGCTCCTGAGCTTTATCTTGTGTCTCCCGGGTGAACAGTTTAGCTTTCGACCTCGTCCAAAGTGTCTTGAAGTCATGACTCCGAGAACAACACAACCTTACTGGGTGAAGTTCAGATCAGGAATGAAATTGGTGCCATGTTGTGTTCCGTCAGCTTCTTTTGGCAGTTAATGCCAAATACCAGTCTTTATTCGGTATTGTAACTCGGGAAAAACTTGTACTGTAACGTCATACATATTCTTCTTAGAATCGTTGCCAAAGCCTAGAGATGGCAAAGGCAATTCCAAGTTTTTAGGATACTTCCCTCTGAGTACACCCATATTCAAGAAGGCCGATAATTCTACCACGTAAAAAATCTCCGTGTCATAACTATTCGGTTATGGGGCTGAGCGGCTTTCAGAACGCTCGTGAACAATTTTACTTCTTTGCCACATTCCTTATATCCTCTCTTATATACACTCTCGTCATTATGACGTACTAGTGTAATCTAGTGGCTTTCTGT